GGTTGGGGGGGGGGATGATGCGTGTGTTGGAGAGGGTTAATAGGGTTTAGCTTGTAGATCTCCTGTGTGGATGAGATGTCAGTCCACTGCTCGCATCTTCCAGCATCCCATCGAACTGGCAGCATCGTGTAGAACCTCACTGCTTAGACAGCATCTCATTCAAGGATTGAACACCAGCATCGTTCTCACCACATCGTATGTACAATGAGCATCTATCGTACATAGCATCTTTTCCCAGCATCTACATGCTCCATCGTATCTATGTCAACATCTCTCCGACTGCATTGTACACACAGCTGTCACTGCACACCACACACCAACACGCAGCTCACTGCATTCACCACGCTTCCAACAACACTTCCATTTCCTGATTATTCTAGCACACGATGCCTAGAAGCATCAGTACTGAAGAAGAGTATTAGGACCTACATACTCTTTGCTGCACATGTAATGCTTTGCCTCTGTTTTACTGCCAGCACCAAACTCTTGGCATGCAAATGAGCGAACTCATTCATCTCTGCTCAGTCTACCTCTGACAGCTCTCCCAGACCATTCTTAGTATCCCAAACAATGACGTTGACAGCGCTGTTGTATTTCTTTATCCCTTTGCAGTGCTGGATTACTTCTTCCAATATTTACACCACTGTCTGTTTTGTCATCTCCATGCACTGTCAAGATTTTACTAACAACAGCTTGAAGCACTCTCAAGTCATCACATCCTTTTTGACCTGTCAAAAACCTCACCTATATCCTCACTGCAATCTCAGCATCTCACTGCCCCACCCCCACTGCACACACTGCACGGTGCAATCCCAACATGTCACAGGAAATCCAGGACCCCACAGCACCTTACTGCACCGCTTCTCTGCATTCACAGTGCCTTCTTGCACATCTTGCATCTCGCCTTTCTGCATTAACATGATATCTTACTGCATTGGCAACATTTCACTCTATTCCCAACATCTCACAAAACCTGCTTTCTTAGCCCCTTGTTCTTCTTCTCTAAACTCTTATCTCACAATTGTCTTCTCTGAACAGAAGCCATGGAGCAGGACTACCTGACCCTGGTGATAGATCTCGAGGAGGGTTACAGCATCTTCTGCTAAGATTTCATCAAATTCGTGTGGGATGCAGGTCATTCTTGCCAATACCACAAACACTCCTGTTCTGCTGCTTGCTCCCTCATCCAGCTTGAAATAACATCAGACTGGAATTTGGATGATCAGTGGTTTGTTCTCACAACGTCTTCTTTTTAGAAGCCACTCCATAACTGAAGATGAGTGGTAAAATAAAAGAGGAACTTGTTTATACGGTGCCTGGTTTGTGCTGCTGAAGTCTTCACTATCTCCAAGTTTAATGGATGTTCTTATATGTTGGTGGCTGCTACAGGAATATTGTTATTGCACTCTCGTTCTGTCTCCCGGAGTTAAATGGGATCTCATAAGTTATTCTTATGCTGTTGAGTGGGGGGTAACTAAAAGGCGTGAATAAAAAGCAAAATAGATCATGCAGAGCCCACACAATAGATATCAATACACTCTGGACAATGAATGGGAACCCCTCTTAGGATTTCTACACACGTCTGCAACAGCTTGGACTGAATTTGACCGGCACAACTGAATCCCAGACATCTCTTGTGTGAGCCGTGAGAAAATAAGTGCAAGACATCAAATTATTACAACTAAGTTAACAGAGGGGCCTGTCTCCCTCCCCCCTCAGAGAATCTCCCCATGTACCAGACTGGGTACCAGCTCACTCATCTCTAGCCTATACAAAGGATATGTCTAAGCCTGGAACACACAGACAAGCATGTGCTTGGGCTTCTATCATCTTCCAAGATATAGTTTTCTGTTGATATTGTTTAATGGTCCTTATCCATGAAATGTTGCTGCCTTGAAGCCTGTGTTTGCAAGTAAGTGTTAAAATATGTGAATAATGATCCATTCTTCATGTTATTAAAAGACAAACTTTATAATAAAACGTTTACCATGCAAAACAAACAGTTGTGGGATTGTTGTGAAGCCTGGGAAAATGCCCTGAGTACCGTAGAGTCCAGCCTATTCATTGCAGACCCTCTGCCTCAAAAGACCTCTCTCCCCGTAGACATCATTGTCATGCTAATTGGACAAACTGAACTTGATTTTGAATCCCCTTCTCTATTTGTCCTGATTTTTTCTTTTTTTTTTGTCTGTGGGAACAAAATGAAGAACCTACGGTGTGAAATTAATTAATCAGGCCTTGCTTAAAACGGCAAAACAAAGGATGTGTTTTTCCAGACTTAACTTTTTAAAGCCTAACAATAACACTCATTTCTAATCTCAAGCCCTACTCTGAATCTGTTAGTTGGGTGTCTGCAGTAAATACAGCTTTTAACTACTATTAATATATTAAAAGGGTGCTCCCTCTCTGATATTTATTTCTATTTAAATGCACATCTATATATAGCAATTTCTGAAATATCAGTTTATTATTCCATTATTTGCCATGTGCTTTATTGCTACACTAGATCACAAGATGCCACTACTTCTGCTTTAATATTTTATTTAGCAGAATAAAGTCAGTGAACATGTATGTAGAATATATAAATGTATTAGAACATAGATAGATAGATAGATAGATAGATAGATAGATAGATAGATAGATAGATAGATAGATAGATAGAGTAGCTAGTATCTGTTGTTAGCTGTACTACAAAAGGATGAAAAGCATGTGACAAATTGTAGGGCCTAAATAGTATGTGTACTGTTGGGGTAATGGAATAATCCCCATCACTGTTACATTTTTTTATATATATTTGAAGCTCAGGAAAAACATCCGTGCCACATCCATGCATTAATGCTGTACATTTTGCTGATTATTTAAAGGCTTACATAATATGGTTTTCGCATGAAGTATTGGGTAATTGTGTTAGTTTATTAGCAGGTTTGTTTTAGGGCCTTTTAATGTGTTATACTGTGACTGATAAATCTGCCTAGAGTGGGACATGCACATTTATTTTAAAATAAAGCTTTAGCTTTGAAATAAAGCTTTAAATTCTGATCTCTCCTAGGTTAAGAGCAAAGGGGCATTTCCTGATCCTCACACGGTAAGGCTTGATTTTGAGTTCAGATGTTCATGGATGTTGTGCAGGTGTGGTTCTTGCTCCTGTATGTCTTATTGCTGACTTGCACATTTATGGAGTACTCATTTGTTTCTGCATTTATAGTACAGTGTGGTATGAAATATATTTTAGGTGGTATATTCACACAGAAGTGGCCATGTGTATTGTGGTTATGTATGATCACAGAGGTTTGCAAAAAAAAAATCCTTTGCCATATCTTTCCTTGTAATCATTTCTTAATGTAACCACATACAGTTCAGGCTTATAGCAGGTGACTTTGGTTGACATATTCAGCTGTAATATAGGCACTTAGACATACAGTTATGTTTATCAGCTACATTATCACATGTATAATAATACAAAAAAAATGTATCCAGTGATCTGTACACTAGAGGAGCATTTTATTCCTATGGGAAGCAAATGTATAATATTAAATTGACTGTTTTCTTGGATAGGAACATCCACATGTTTACATAGCATGATGAATGTCTAATGCGTGTAACCCTGTTCTAATTCATACCACCCACAATTAACTCTTGAAGTTAGGATGAACTGTATTTGATGAGAAATGCCAATTTTATTTCAATGGAAACCGCAGCTTTAATTTGCCTTTCTAAAACCATAACATGCATAATACTACACATTATACATAGAGCTCCTATTTAAATTATACTTAATTTGCTCAGCTACATATCTACATATCTACATATAATATACATATAATATATATATA